CTAGGAAGAAAGTTGTCTGCTTTTCAACTATGGCCGGCAGGCATAAAATGAGCTTCACTGTACATGCCTCTTTCGCATTCAGGCACGACAAAGTTCTGACACGTCAAAGTTCTGTTTTAGAATATTGTTGCAGCGGTAAACAGGATGCTGTGAAACTGAAAATTAACCATGCGCCACGATTCAAAACCGCCTGCTCAGCCGATCTCCCTCTTTCTCAAATGTAAAAAAAAAAAAAAAAACGAGCAAGAATATTTTCAGCATTAATGCACATATCAAACTGTAAAGCAGTGAACGCTTGTGCTGAAATAGATTAAATTGCTGCACGAGACCCTACAAAAATGCGTGATCGCACCGGTAACCTTAGTGTGCCGCTAGTTATTGCTTTTTACGATTGCCTGTTTTGGCGGGCATACCGCGGTAACACACCGCTACTTCCTCCATTGATGATCAAGGAATTGGCTTTGCCTTTGACCAGTTTTTTTCAAAATTTCTTCATTTTAATGGTGTGTGCCTGATTTTTTAAAATATCCTCGAAGAAAGGTGTTGCAGCAAGTGCTCGATATTAGCACATGCGACCATCCCGGCTATTCCTTAGTGCTTTCGTCTCAAACAGTGATGCAAACATACCCTTAGTCAGATCAGTTTTGATCGTTCACTGGATAAGACTTTTAAAGTAATTCATACAAATATCATACTATTTACTGTTTGTGATCATTTATAATGAAGTCCCGTTGTTTTTTGAACAAAGCGATTGCTGCAGGTGTACGAGACTTCGGCCGGTGCTTTAATCAATGTGGATGACGCAGTAAGGCGGTCTTCCTCTGTTGTTTGCTCAGTTTGCCAACGAATTGGTGCCTCACTTCGATGTTACAAACTGAACTGCGAAAAATATTTTCATGTTTTATGCGCGAGATCAACGAGGGGAAAATTCATGAAGGATAAGGTGATAGCTTTTTTTTTCCAGTGAAACTGGCTTCTCCATTGTGTTGCCTTTTTTTTAGTTTCAGAACTCACTGTGTTTTAATTATTTTTTGACAGGAGATATGTGTAGAGTTTTTTTTTTTGCCCACATCCAAGAAATAAATTGTTTTAAAAGTTGAACAACAATGAGAAAGAACGGAATTATTTTTGGGATCACTGAGAACTTCCGGAAGCCGTTCCATCGCCTGCTACTGTAGTTTTAAGTTTTCTCGATTTATGGCCAATCTTTTTGGAAGTTCTGTCATACTGTTAACTTCTACAGCGCATTGGTGGTAGCCTTGGTGGTAGAGTTTGGGACAGCGTGCGAATTCAAAGTAGATCCCGACAAAGACGTTCATACTTAGGCTGGGATGTTCAAGTCAGAATTTGACAGTATCATTGATTTCAACAAAAGTCGCAGGCTATCCAGTCCCTTTTGTTTATCGGTTGAGCATTAGCGATTTTCAGACGTTCATATGCGAGGAGCATGACGATTATCGCAGTGATCTGGTGATGGACCGCCTGGATGCGTTTCGTCGCATTTATATCGATCGTGAAGAAAATCAGTTAATTGCAAAACTGTTCCACAGCGAAGCCGATCGTTTGGTGCTGCGGATTGGTAGTCTTACATTCAATCACATCGGACAGCTACTTCCAGAGCAGCTGAAAGCCTTCCACAATTCGGAGCACATTTTCCCGGTAAGTCTTCATGCCCTGCACTGGGTGTATACAGGTTGATTTGTGTTGTCAAAAGCATTCCTGCCAAGTCATCTCTCCGCACCGACAAGATGGCCAGTGCGATTGGGCAGACATGTATTGTCTTTCATCCCTACGCTGAGATATAGATCTAAAAATCAACCCCTCTCCTGCTTGTAATAAACTTTTTGCTGCAGATTGGATACAGTGTCAAAAGATTTTTTTGGTCACCGATTAATGCGACAGAACGCATTCAGTACCAGTGCACAATATGTGATAAAGCGTCAGCACCGGAGTTTGTCATTTCTTTTGAGCACGGTCAAGAGGTCCGAGAGAGCTCCGCATCAGGTATGCATTGACTTTACAAGTAATCGGACAAGAAACGCCTCGAAATTTCTAACTCAGATAGATTATTAGAAAAAAAAAACCCCCCACAAGCACGATGCGACATGAACACTTGAAATTGAATAGAATGACAGTTTAAAGACGGTACAAATGTGATATAAATCTCCGGCAATGTTTGACTGCCTTAACTCCAATGATGAAGATATTGCATTCCCAGCGTATAGCCACGGTTTGGATAAAATGTGTACAATGCAAGAAATTTATGACCCTCTGGCTCTCTTTCTCGCAGTTTATTTCTCTATTTTGGTAATGCCTTACGTTCTCCCACTTAGTATTGTGTTTCAGCAGCTTGGAATCGTATTTTG